TATAATAGCTTGGTAATCATGAGCAAGGCACTTATCCTCACGAAGCACATAAACAAAATTACGGGGGTAAACGAATGATGAAGAAGAATTGAACATATTCAATACTGGTAATACTCTTAGCAACTCTCTAAGTTTATAAATTGTGGATAAAGTGCTCATCTGCATTTGGTATATTTTCCTTACCAAAAAGTTCCTTTTGCTGATGAAATCACAGGTACAATCCCTATCCATATTCCTATCTCAAATCATCCTGTCTTCAGAAAGAAAAAAAAAAGCAAAAAGCAAAACAAAACAAAACAAACAAACAAACAAAACTACTGCTTTGTTAGGCTAATGTCTCTGTGCCATCAATGGACACTCAAGACAATCCTTAAATCAGAAACTATGGAATGTGCCAATGATTCTATCTGGTGTCTGTGTGTTGGAAAATGATCAAGTTTGAACTGTTCACACATATGTAACTTTCCTTAAAATATTACTCACTTTAAAATTTAGGATGTACCTCTGGAGGAAAGATGAGCTCTGAAATAGCTATTTAGAGATTTATGGATGATCGCAGATAATTTGAATTGCCTTCACAAAGAGTATGCAGATTATTTCAATGTTGTTAAAGTCCAGTTATCCCAGACCATTCACATTTCCTTCCTGTATATTTCTCTAGCACACAGCTCTAAGACTGACTCATTCTACATGAGCTGGTCTTCAGAAGCATAAAAGGTTCCTAGGAATGTTGGGGTAAAAGTCATGATCACATACTGACATCCAGGACCCAGACTGTAGGAACAGGATGTTCATTGCTAGAAATTATTCCTCCACAACTCTGTGTGTGTGTCACTGTGTGTACACATAGGCTGTGGATATATATCAGAGGAGGCTGATTACCCAATTGCTTAAATAATGAAAGATTCCCCTTTATAGCCTGACCACAGCTTATTTTCATACATACTTCTTTGTAAAAAAACAAAGTAGGTAGAATAGTACTTTTGTGTGAGCATAGAGTTCTATAAAGCTAACAAGTCTATACATTAGTTGGTGCTTTCTTGACCATGCAATGTCATCAACATCAAGGTGCCCTCCAGTGGTACATATTGTAACCCTTCCACCATTGCCTACATCTTCGCAAACAGCCACCAAAGATTATTTTCTGAATGTATTAGAGGTCTTCTCCTGGATGTCTCAACTCTCCAGGAATGATAGGATCACAGAACTAGAACTAGAAGGGATCTCAGAAGCCATTTAATCCACCTGCCTCATTTTAGAGATGAAAAACCTGAGGGTTGGGGAACGGTCAAGATGGATGAATAAAGGAAGCATCCCAGTCAAACTTCCCCAATTACCCTCTAAATAACTTTAAAATAACATATTAAATCAAATTCTGGAGTAGCATAGGAAACAAAAGATCGGGTTGACACAACTTTTAAGCCCAAGAGAAATTAGGAGGTCAGAATGAGAGATATATGACACTGGGGTAGGGGCTGGCCCAGAGCACATATGGCCACAACAGGAGCTGTGGGCCTTGGAGACAGTTGCAAAAGAAGCAGCAGCAGTTCCAGAAGTTCTCACTGCTCAGAAATGGTAAGGGGATTAAACAAGTGCTTAGAAAGAGAGTACAGGGGACCTCTGGGCTAACACTGGGCCCAGGATTGGGAGCTGTTTGACAGCTCCATTGCCCATACCTACTTAGAATTTCATGGATAAAATCAGCTAATCAAAGATGCCTTTTTCCTAGTGTTACTTGCCTTCTCAATGGGTTAAGGTGGGGCTGGAATGAGGGAGAATATTTAACTCAAATTTATTTTTAGAAATTAATGTAAAAAATACATCAATGAATTTTCTTTAAAAGAGGGATGAGATAACTGAGGCTGAGCAGAAAATACTAGCATTATATTTGGTAGACATCTATTGTCTTATTTTCACTACAAGTGGCTTCACCTCCTTTATGAGATCTTTTACACAGTGTAGTTCACCATTGTGTTTTTCCAGTGCTCTTGCATTCTTTGCCCATTTAATTGTCCCAAGATCACATTTTTTCAAGATTCCATAGCCAAATGACATCATGAGGATAAATAATAACTTTGAAGGAGATAGTCTTTTGAAGAATCAAGCAGTTTGATGTCCCAAAATATAATCCAACTCAACCTTTTACTATTTCACTGTGGGCCCAGCTTATTATGTGAGCAAAGAATACATTTGTATAAATTTCAAGCAAATGTGTACCATTCCTAGCCTAGTACCTCATCTGCCATAAAGTGGCTGTGTGATGTTTTGCAAGTAACTTAATCTTTTAGGGGCTTAGGCAATTACAGATGACCCTGATGTGCAATGGTATTGAAAGAAAATTCATGGGAGAATTGTCTATACCACTAAAATTACTGTCCAGTTTCTATCTGTATAACTTTTAAAATAAGCCTAAAATTGGTACTAGAGTTGCTCTGTTTATGGAGTAATTCAGCCAATGAGGTTCCATAGACCTCATTAAGTTCTAATTATTTATCTCTATTAAATATGGGTCTCTCAAAATGTATGTGGAGGAGTGTTTTACTGCTTGTATTTTTCTATGTTAAAAACTGGGACTTGTCTTTGGAGATATTCTGAACATTTTATTCATTATCTCTACCTTGATTTGAGATGACCATATGTAGCTTTCCAGTGTAAGCTGCATATTATTTGCTATTACCTATTGTTCTCCTTTGGTAAAAACAATAATTTTGCATTAAATGTTTCTTTACCACCAACATTTTTAGCTTTCACTTGCCAAACTTTAAAAGGGGATGTGTATGTGCAGTTTGTATGTAACTGAAATTAACATGGTTGTTCTTGTTTTCACAACTTTGAGTTATTTAACAGTTGATCATGCCAAGAACATCTTTATTTAGGTAGCTGCATCATCGTCTGCTGTCTGGATGACTCTGGGGGTTGTGTTTAACTGAAGCTGCAAAATCAGCTGAGAAAAAAAAAGTCCAAAATGCATATTACTGAGAGCCAGAGCTGTACCAGTAGAGACATCATTTTCCCTTGTAGCAACATAATTCTTGGGGGTGTAAATAAGGAAAGACAACACCCACTATTAAAGACATTCTTTGATATTTTTTGAAAGGATCATCTCAATGAAGTTACCGCAAATACAAATATTCAAATGAAATATTGCAAAGTACACTGAGTGGGAAATAGGCATGAATTATTAGTTTTAGATTTTTAAAAAATATTTGCAATTCATTCTTCAAGTGGACTATCTGAATGAAATGTTCTTTTTAAATCACCATTCCAGTTTCCATACATGTATATTTTAAATGAAGCCTAAAGTTCATGTTTAACTTCCTCCAACATTGTGCCTCTGAGGGACTACAAAGATGAATAACAATAATTATTCATGTGGGATTGCTGATAAGGAAAATTCACTGATCAATTTTATTAGCTTACTCAGAGATGAACTTTTGATTTTCCATGACTTTCTACACAGGGGGTGTGGGAGTGTTAATGCTACCTCCAATAACATTGCCTGATTAAGTCTCAGTGGTGAGGGCCGAACCAATTTGGATTATTTTGTCTGGATTCAATGCGTGACTCCAAGGGAGTAAGTTTTAAGGACTGGGACTGCTCCTAAAATGAATGGGTTTGTCTGTACATGTAGGAAAACAGACTATGTCAGTTGGACACACCTTTTATGCTGACTGCACATTAAACAGATATCTACTTAGCTCCTTTTGCCTTGCTTGCTTCCTATACCAAGTGCCTTGAGGAAAAGGCCATTCATGCACAAAAAGGAGTATTTCCAGGAAAAGACAGGTTTTTTTGGGGGAGGGAGTAGGTCATACAATCCTAAAAAAACAGGTTTTGTGGGCTGCTACAATATCTAAACTCAGCTAAGATAATTTTATTTTGACATTTAATCAATCCTGTATAGCCTCCATCATGTATAATTTTGAAGGGAGGGAAAGCAATAATCCTACAGACCTGGTCCATAACACCTAGAATACTCGATGGTATACTGCTAACAGAAATGGAAGACCTGAAAGATAATGTGTCATAGCATACAGAAAGACTGGAATTGTATGTTTCATTTCATAATGAAAAAAATTTAACAATATGTTCACAAGAAAGAAAAATAAATTAACAGAAATCTAATACTACTACAATAATATAAACATTTTTTCCCCCCAACAATGCACTCGTGTTTGACTTGGTATGAAGGATGGAGATTGGAAGGAATGGAAAAGTACATGGGCTTAACCTAAACTTGTATTTCCTATATAACACTGGCATACTCAAGAAAAAAAAATATAGAGAGTACAAGAAGTCCCTTTAAACCTCTTATTTATATTGGGGGGAAAAGATGGTGTTGGTATTAGATATTAAAATAGATCATAAAATTATTTAAGATAATTGATAACATATACACAGGAAAAATCTTGTTTTTAAATTGATAGAAAATCCCTATGTTTCATTATTATTTTGTTATTGTCTGTATATTCCTTTGGTAGAGCAAACTAATCTGTTTAATTTCCAATGTTTTTCTTTATATATTTCTTCCATTTACTGAAATCCCCATCGTACTAGGAACATCATGGCTAACTTGAACTAGAGACTCATGGGAATTATATGTGCTCAACCAAATAGCTATAGGTAATGATTTGAGGTCATATTTTCCCCTTTTCTGAGCATAATTATAAGACTGAAGACCTGAGTGGACTTTCAAGTCCACACAAGTTTAAGAAATCACAGAATTAAAGAATCCTGATGGAGCATTCTGGAGAATGACATAGAAGCTACATGTTTTTGCCCACATGGTCACAGAGGGAGATCATGGACTCCTGCACACCTGCCTCCTAGTTAGAGGAATAGAGAGAGAATTCCTCTCCATTACAATAGATACCATTACACTAAAATCTAGCATTTAAGCAAGGGAGATTTTTTTTTCTCTAGGTACCCCATGTTTAAGAGTTCAATGACTAGTTCTATTGATAGAAAATGAAAATGACTGAGTGGTATGCTTCTTTTAGAGAGAAGAGGATCATTTCCTGGCCATCTCCATATCATATTGCATACATTCCAGTGATCATCCTCTTCCCACTCCAGCCAGAACATTATACGTTACAGCTAATTCTCCAAGTTCTGATAGGTAATGTTTTGAATATGTTCAACACATCTTCCTCTCCTTCACCCCTTAGAACTACTAGCTTTCTTAAAGTATGGGTCAGATACTACCCTCTACTGAAGGCTTTTCTTAACCTATCTTTAACTCCCCTGTTACCTTCTATTTAATAAATGTGTATGTTACATAAATAGACAGATGATAAAGATATAGATACATACATATAGATACAAAACAGACATAGAAATAGCTAAAATCATATATGTGTATATATATATATATGTATATATATATATACATATATGTAATTAGAAACAGAGATACATACATATAGTATGCATAGGATGAAAGAGCATTTATTGTCTACTATGTGCAATTGTGATAGACATTTTACAATTATTATCTCATTTGATCCTGACAACAATGCTGGGAGGTAGATGCTATTTTTATGCCTATTGTAGAGATAAAGTATCCAATACAAAGAAAGGTTAAAGGACTTGTCTAGAGTCAAATAGCTAACAAGTATTTGGGGCTGGATTTGAACTCCTCTCTTCCTGCCTCCAGGCTCAGCACTCTGTCTACTTTGCTGCACTATGTGTGTATGTGTGTGAATATATTTCAACACATGGAATGTAAACTCCCTTAGGGCAGGGAATGTTACATTTCATTTCCACCCCACTTCAAAACATTTCTACCACATGCCACTCTTCACTTCCCCCATTTCTAGATCACTTTAATATATTGTCTTCTCTTACTCAAATGCAAGCTCCTTGAAGACAGGGACTATTTTGTTCAGTTGCATTTGTATAATAGGAGAGAGCATATGTTCAGAGTGACTGCCATTCTTTCTCTAAGGGAAAAAATCTCTAGAGGCTGCTTCCACATGTTGTGAAGATGTGTAATGAAAGTGCCCACGAGAGACTTGAGAGTGCTTAGACAGTTTGTAGACTATAAACGGTTCTGATCTGCTAATTACAAGGATAGGGGAAGCCTTTGTAATGGTTAGTATACTTCACCTGAGGGAGCCTACCAACCAGAGACTTGGTTCACTTGTTTTCTCTTCATTTTAGTCAGCTGAAGACATTGGTAAGTGATAATTCTATAATGGTAGAATTTTTAGTCCTCCTCCCTTCTGAGGCAGATATATGGCCTTGTGGAAATGGGTCTTGGTCTTTTCCCTTTTGGGTAAAGTACATTAATCTAGAATCTCTGATTGTTCTCTTGTTTCTCTTCTATAATGTACGATATTCACATAGTACTATATAAATATGTAACAGATTTGGTGTGTGCCCAGATCATCAAAAATAGAATTACACATATGGGGAGCACCAGGGACCTGCTGCTGAGAAACAGAAGGACTGACACATGTATGGACATTCCGTGTTGCTCCACCACATGGTTGGGAACACCCTTTTTCTATTAGCTACATATTTAAAAGTACCTGAATGGATAGCCTGTCTTTCCAGGTTTAAAGGGCTCATTCACTAACAGTGGTTGAAACCATGTGGTATGTTAAGCAGGTCCTAGGCCTGCCTCCTTCTCCATTCACTTCTACCCACACACAATCCTGCCCCAGGCCATGTGGCCATTTTCAGTTCTAGCTGTAGTGAGGAGTTTGAAAACTGAGAGCTTAATTCTTGGGTACCATGGAGCCTAGAATCCTAGATCGGATGTTGCAGTTAGCCTAGAAGTAAAGCCTTGAAAAGCTAGAGTCCCAGGACACTAGTTCAAAGCAGGCTTTGGGCTTGAGTTTGGTAGGATGAATGTTATGCAGGAACTGAATTAAATTATAAGCCTAGTACCCTTCTTCTCACCAGAGACTGAAGTGGTGTGACAGATATGATGTCCTTGATGTATTGCAGGAATGTTTATTCTTGCTAAACATTTGAAGTAAATATTTCCTTCATAAAAGTGAATCTGACTATTAATTGGTCTAGTGGAATTGGGAAGCTTAGACCCATAAAATGGGGAAATAGAATTGGTATGGGCCTAAGCCAGGCTTAGGGAACCTGCAGCCTCAAGCCCACATGTAGCTTTCTAGGTCCTCAAGTATGTCACTTTGACTGAATCCAAACTTCGCAGAACAAATCCCCTTGATCAAAGTATTTGTTCTGTGAAGTTTGGATTCAATCAAAGGGCCACACTTGAGGACCTATTGTGCCACATGTGGACTCCCACCCTGGCTAGACAATGATAGCGAGGTGAGACACCCCACTCAGCTCCTCAAGATACTGACTAACCTGGGTAGGGCGATGTTAATATATCAGCCAACCCTTACCCAGTGAAGCCAGAGGAAATCATGTTACATGCCCAGAAGATTCTACTGAAATTGAATACAAGGTATAAGATTCTGTTGAAACTGACCGAAAATATTAATAATTTATACTTCTAATATTTTAGCTGTGTTAAAACATAAAAAAGTTCTTTTTATGCATGTCAGTCTTAACCTATGTTAAATGTTATATTTACTATTGTTACTGCTACTATACTAGTTCAACACTTTCTTCTTAACCTGTTATTGAAATAGCCTCCTAACTGGTCTCTCTGGCTCTCATTACTCCCCATTCCTATTGATCTGAAACACCACTGCAAGAATAATTTTCCTAATGAGGAGCTCTGATCATGTTACCCCTTATTCATAACACCAAAATGATTCCCTATTGCCTACAAAATGAAGTTCAAACTCCTTCATATAGCATTTAAAGTTCTACACAATCTGGCTCCAATGTACAGTCAGACTCCAATTTAACTCTCTAGCTTTAGTACTCTAGTATTCTCTGTACTATATACTCTCTGTGCTAGCTAAACTGAACCACTCAGTGGTCCTGCAACATCTTGTGCTTTTGTCCTCCCACATCTTCACACCATCTTCTACATTTTAAATATATTCAGTAAACCCATTGCATCTTGCCTACTGTGATCTTTCATATTTTAGGACCTAGATCAAGTAACAGTGAATCCCTTAAGCTTTTCATAATCCACCTCAGCCTAAAGCACTCTATCTTTCTAACATTTTTTGTAGCATTTTGTCAATCTCCTGTTTACTTATAACATGCATATTATTTGTGATTTAGCTAGCTAGCTGGATGGATAATTTTTTTTTTCCGTGTACCTATCCTACCTCCCTCATAAGAACATATGATCGTTATGGACAGGAACCCATCTTTTGGTTCCTATAGTGCCTAGCATTTTGTCTTGATCATAAGATGTCTTTATTAAATATGTATTGGTTTAAATTGATTGAAAGAGGAAAATATATTTGAACATATAGGGATATTTGGAGGGTCTTATTTTTATCAAGGAAAATTATGGAAAATTCACTCCACCAATACAGACCACAAGCTATCTATGAATGATTAGCTCAATCCTAGAGAGCTGGCAGAAGTGAATAGCTTAAAACATACATACACACACATAAACACACACACACACACACACAAAAAAAAAAAAAACTTGCTGAGGGTCTCATATTTATTGAATGTCTAGAGTGGGATTTGAACTGAAATACTTTTTGATTACATTTTAATTGATAATTGAATTAGCCTCAATAACTAAGGTGAATTTAAGTTTATCTATATAAACCAATATAAATCTAAATAACATCAATTTTATCATGTAAAATGATATTCAATTGGTTGGTTCAACTGGTAATTCCATATACTTTATATTCCGATATAAGCATGAAATCATTCATTAACCATGAAAAAAGTGTCAATTGTGTACAATATGCTATGCTTTATGCTGTGAGAACTATAAAGATAATACCTAGGTACTGACTATTTAATAGTCATAGGACAATTTTATTTCTTATGAATGAAAATTCACCTCAGTTATTTACTGCCTCATATAGAAATTGTCATGTACACCTAGCTGCAATAGATGAAATTCATCTACCTGTATGGATGTTTCTCCCTAACCCACAGGAAAAAAGCAGTAAATAGAAAGGTCCTTTGACTTTGAGTAGCTAGGCCCCAAAATGTCATTTATAGTCTGGGAAGGCTCAGCTTATCAATTAAATAACTTGAGAAATCAAAGGGACATAGCATTCTCTTGAAAGACCATAGTTCTGCATTTGACAGGACTGGACGAATGCTTTTCAAGGTCACAAATGATCAATAATTACTAAAGTCAATTTTTTTTCCCCTTGTCCTAATCTCATCCTCCTTGATTTATTTATTTTTATTTATTTTTTTTTAGGCAATTGGGGTTAAGTGATTTGCCCAGGGTCACACAGCTAGTAAGTGTCAAGTTTTGGTCTGAGGCCACATTTGAATTCAGATCCTCCTGACTTCAGGGCCGGTGCTCTATCTACTGTGCCACCTAGCTGCCCCCTTCCTTGATTTTAATAGAACACTTGTCACTGCATTGGAAGCCTTCCATGACACTCCCCTGTGCTAATTTTTATCGTCTCCCTGATTATTCTTGTCTCCTTTGCTGTCTTCTTCTTTACTCCTCCTCCTTCTCCTCTTTCTTCTTCTTCTTCTTCTTCTTCTTCTTCTTCTTCTTCTTCTTCTTCTTCTTCTTCTTCCTCTTCTTTTCTGTCTCCTCCTTTTTCTCTACTCCCTTCTTCCTTCTCATACTGGGAGAATGAGTCACTTATATACATTATGAATTATTGTTGAAGATTTCAGAATTTACAGACTGAACCAGATGGAACCTAAGCAAGGTACTAAAAAGAATGACTAGAAGATGAGATACATATCTGTGCATGTGTAGGGCAACACTGAGTGCTACTTCAGCACTTTAAGTGTCATCTGATATTTTACACAAATATTGCACTCTGAGTAGTCACTCCAGCCCTACTCCAAATAGAAGGACATAGGCGCTTTGACTACCCTTTGTTTCCCTGTGATTACTTCCCTGTGTTTCCAACCCAAGGCCCAGTTTAACACAGGTGCTTCTGGGGAGAAGAACATACTGGCTATATATAGTTTAATTGCAACTAAAAGTATACACAACTAAGTCGAGCTATCTTGAGAGTATGTCATTTGCTACACTAAAGGGTCCATTTCTCCCTTCTACGTTTG